GTAAATTATTATAACTTAAATAGTGTTTATTTAAAAATTTTAAAACGTTACCATGTTATGTGATAGAATACATATTGAATTTGATTTAAATAACAAAAAAAAAAAAATTTGAATGGAAGAGGAAATTCTGTTGACCCTAAAATCAAAAGATTCATGTAACCTTATAACCATACTTGATATATGTTAGAATAATTCTAGAATCAAAAATCTTTTAACCACTATGTCTAAACTTCCTTTTTCATCACAGTTCAAATTTGCTTCCAGAGATTTTTTAAAAGTTTTGATAAAATTATTGGCTTGCCCATTTGTAGTTGGAAACTCTGAAGGTGTAAGAATGTGTTGCATACCAACATCTTTTTAAAATTATTGGAATTCCCATTATTGCTTACTACGCTATCCACTAAACCATACCTATACCTAAGAATTAAAAATAATATATAATTAATCAATTCAATAATTCTACAGTTGCTTCATGATTTTGTTCCAATATAACATAGCAAGTTAATTTTTTAATGAACTTTCATAGCAAATTAAAACTCCAGAAAAATGTGGGAACATAAAAATATTAAATACAGTTTTGAGTCAATTGGTTAATACGCTGACTCTGAGGTGCAAATTTTGCAGGGTACGTGTACAATCCTTAGTACTTGCAGTTTCAAAAAATTATTTACGTATAATTAAATACAAGAATTATTTCCAAGATCACTATTGATGGATATTTGGCAATACTCGAAACAGCTGCATGGTGAGCCAAAAATTCAATTAATTCAAATAATATAAAAAAAAATTTTGTTGTTGTAGTTCACTACTTCATGAAAAATATCTTTAAGAATTGAATATATTTTGTTAAAAAATCGAATATGTTTTGTTCAAAAATCGAAAATATCTTGTCCAAAAATTAAACAATTTTTTCTAAACATTTAGTAGTGCTTAGAGTATCTATATAATTTAGTTTTCTTTGATATAATTATTTTTGGAAAATATACAATATTAAAATATTAATAATCTATTCAATTAATAAAAGTAATTTAAATAAATTTTTGTTGTTGTAGTTCACTACTATTTTAAAAAAAAGTCTTTATTAATAATCTATAAAATTTAATTTTCTCTGGTGTAATTCATTTACTTTAGTAAATGATGTGGATAATGGTTTAGGTTGAAGTGGATAAGGATAGGACAAGTGCTCTAATTGGGACCTATTAAATTTCTTGTCAATTGAAATATTTATATATAAGATATAGTCTCTATTTCGATAGAAAACAGAATAATAGTTAAGGAAATTTTACCACGAAAATTAATTTTTAATTAACTAAGTCAATCTCCCTTTTTAAAGATATTAGACACCAATTAAATAAAAAATAAAATAGCCAAATCTGATAAAAATATTTAAAACTTTGGATTTTATCTCTGATTAATAAATTCAATTTCAAGCCAATTTACAATACATCGCAATTCCCTTTGAGTAGTCCTCATCATCATATCACAATTACTAATAGTAAAATTGATGACGTAATCATAAATAACCGTGCAAATTTCTTTCCCAAAGCGAACTTTTCTTACTTCTTTTACGGGGGCTATTGGTTGTCATAAGAAACAAAACAAACGTCAATTATTTTTAACAAATACGCCCACTTAATTTTATGATGTTTATAGAATTTGCACGATTATTCAAATGTATACAAACGATTGGGAAAATAGCTTTCGAGTGGCGGAAGAATTAGAAGAAGACGAAGAAAAAGTAGAGAATAAGAAGAGGAAATAATAAAAAAGAAAAGAATTAATGCCATTCCGAAACAATGAAATAGCAAAACAAAGGAACCACATTTCATTAATAAGGCTTATCATAAGGATAACATCAATACTCATAAAAAAGGAATTATAATTGGATCGAAAAATGATTTTTCTTTTAGTATAGGAAAATGTGTTTGGAAAATTTGTTTTCTTAAGCATTTTCCTTTTCAATTTTTTTTTTTTGCTGTATTGTTTTTTTTCTTTTTTTGTTGTGTTGTGTTTTGCTGATGTTGATTGTGCGTCTGGTTGGCGACATTTTGAAATTGAATAATTTTCCATAATTTTTATTTGCACAAAATAAGCGGAAACGGAAACTGAATACAATGCTGCGCACAAACATACACAAAACGAATACAAATTACTAACAAATATAAGCAAATTTATACACTAATACATATATATATATAGATTTGATACACACGTATATGTATGGTATGTGTAGGTATTCGTATCTGGTAGGTTATTCATGGCTAAAAATCTAGAAAAGCATTCAAGGCACAAATTCTGGAGAAGTCAACTGTGTAAGTAGAGGGGCGCAATGGTGTAAGTGGTTATATTTTTTAGTATAACGACTTTGGTGACGACGAGCATTGCAAAGTACTATGATAAAACAACAACAATTTATAGATATAAAGACAGCAACTAGAGATACTTTGTTGCAGTTGCTGAGCATGATGTTGATGCTGATGCTGCTGCTGAGGCTGATGCTGAGGCTGATGTTGATGTTTATGTTGATGGCAATGACAACGAGGTAAAATATATAAGTGAATGAAGCTGATGACAACAACGAGTATCAAAAGTCGTCTTAATTTTCATAATAAAACGAATATTGTTGACTGCCATAATTATACCATAGACGACGCCAACCAACCTAACTTGTCTATTGTTTCAACTTGGTTGTTTGTACGTTTATCGCGACTTCTGTTTATTTCCTTGTTATCCTTGTAGTTGCTATTTATCCTACTTCTGCCATTCAGTATCCAAATTATAATTACGTACTTCTTTGGCTGGCAATCAACGTGCTTTTGCTGCTAATGCCGCTATAATTTCCAAGAAATTTTCTTTGAAATCTTTGCAGTTACAATTTTTAACTATTTTTATTTTGTTGCCATTATATTATAAAAAAAAATATACTAACAACAATTGAAATTTATCCACTTCGTAAAATGAAATCCGTACAGATGTCCACAAGGCAAAAAGGTTTATTTAATTTTCTTCTTCTTTATTGCTAAGGCTTTTGAATTTTTTAAAAATCCTAGCAATTTATATCTTTACTATTGCATTGACCAAACCTTAATATTAATATTACAGAGTAACTCTTTTAATATACTTTAAATCATAATTTGAATAGTACATAATATTTTGTATCTTTTGTTAGGAAATTTAATTCACTTGTATTGCAAAGGATTTTCAAATTTAAGTAGCTTTTATTCCTTGCAATTTTATGGTATCTTCAATCTTCTGCTTTTGGCTTGTAATTTTCTTCTCAAATTTGGCGTACATCAAGCGCATAACTTCGCATTTCGTTTCATAACAATTCTAATAATTCCATGACGATGTAATAATGCAAAGTCCTTGCATACTTGCATTGTAATTACTTAATCTTTTCCAGATTTTGTAAATCATTATGCTGCATCCATTCTCGAATTGCTGGCATGTTTTTGAGGCATGTCAAATTAGCTTGTCAACATGCTGTGTGCTATGCTCTGCTATATTTGCTGCCTAGCACCTTTTCACGTGGCTGCTATTGGCAATTTCTAAAGTGGCAATAGCAACAACAACACCAACACCAACAACACTAACAACAATATCACACCAATAGCAAGCAGAAGCATTGGCAGTAGTAGAAGGAGCAACATCATTACAAATGATGGCACAGCTGTTTGGAAAAGCAATTTGCTGGCTTCATTGTCTTCACAAAATTAGCTCGCTTCGTGTGCAGCCTTTTTAATTAACTTTTAATAAAATTTTCTACCGAATTTCCACACGAATTGCTTTGAATTTGGCAAATCTTAATTATTGCTTGCGTACAGATAAAATGAAAATTGCATTCACCATTTTTGGCAGGAATTGAAGTGGAAATTATTGCCATGATTTTACATTTCGATTACCTTAGAAACTTTGTCATCGATTAAAGTAAAAATTTGATGCATATAATATTATATAGTAGTTTCTTCTGTAGGTTAGATTTAAGGGTGAGTCTGCGATAGACTACTTGTGACCGCCTATGGGTTCGTTGTGCGCTACACTAGAGCTCTTCCCCTTGTTTCTTCAACAGTTTAAGTTTAAGAGTGACTCTACGACAGAAATCATAACATAGTCTGTTTCTTGATTCGTTGTCTTACTTTCGGGCTCTTATTTTCAACATGTCCCGCTTCCTAATGATCTTCTATTTTTTTTATATAGAAGAAATACTTTTTATATTATTCTTATATTCCATATACCATTGATGATGGGTGTTTCTATTCAGTTAGTTTACTGATATCTTTTCTCCTTCACGTTTTCTTTATTATTCAGCTCCAAGCCACATGCCGCCTTTTTGCGTGTACTTAAAGGCTACGACACAATTAAAATGACAAAAATAAATAAAGGCCATAATACAATATACCTTAATTCTAGACAAATACTATAAACCGTAATTCTAAACAATGGGTATCTGAAAATACTCGAAACAACTTTATGGTTAGCCAAAAAGAGTTTTCCAGAAACGTCGATTTTCCTTCTTATTAAAGCTGAATATCTGCACAATAAGTGAGAGCTTGATAATTGTTCCTATTCTTCTTGGCAGAGGCCACTAAATTTGTGTTATTTTTCTGGAGAAATTTGTGCGGTTTCTGATATTAGTTTTTGATAGTTATTTAGAGGTTTCAACAAGGGTTTGATAAAAATTTTAGCTCTACTCCTGACTATAGTTGAACTTCTGAATAATAGGTGAAAACATGATCATTTGGTTTGGGAGATGGTGCGCTCTCAAGTTTATTTCTAGGGTTAACGTATGTAGTGTAAGACACTCTTCTGATCTTTATGTTTATTTGTGTA